GCATTCCTGAAGAAGTCAATGTGAAGACAGCAGGTGAGCCCCCAGCAAGGTGGGCTGTCCTACTGCCTGTCTGGGCCCAGCTGGCTGGACTGTAAGCTCCTGCGGGGCAGGGCTGGGGCTGAGTGTACCGCTTTGTCCCCAAGGACCTCGGCACGTGGTGGGTCCTCAGTAAACATCGTAAGCCAACGAAAGGGTGATGTGATGGGCCCACACTCTACTGAACCCCGACAGACTGGCTGTTGCCTCAACTCCTATCCCCCGAGCCCTAATATCACTTTGAAAAACTGCTGCACCAGAGCATGAGCTCCCCGGGACAAATGTTGGGAAGGGTGTGGAGAGTAGGGAGGGCAGTTCCTGGGAACGCAAGCCTGCTTTCCTGAGCTGCCAGGAGCGAGTGGAGGGGGGCACGTAACCCATAAGCCCACGCTCACCGCGAGAGTTCAAGTTTCCCCCTCGGGTCAAGGACTCCCATCCATTGGCACAAACTGGGCAGACTCCTTGTCCCTTTAAATAAAAACTTTCAGTGTGGGTCGAAATTCAGTAAAAACGGACCAACCAGAGGCCCCGCTCCTCCTTTCTACCACTGCTTTGCTGCTGAGCCCCATCTAGGTCCCCGACTCTGTGACTCTCGTTGAGCTGACCCCAATCGAGCCCCAGTACAAGCAGTCAGGGACGGGGCGTGTAGGCAGGCCAGTGACACACAGGGTCAGGCATTCTGGGGATCTGAGCCGGAGGCCAGCCAGGCCTTGGCAAGGAGCTGAGACATGCCTGGGTGGGTGAGGCTCTGGGCCTGAGGCGAGAAGCCAGTTTCCCAGCAGGGATGTGCAAGAGCTGCCTAGAAGGTCTCAGCTGGTCCTCTGAGTTGGGCCTGTGAAACAGGGACGCCCACATCCCTCCCCTACAGGGCCCCTGCAGCCACCTCCCCCTGGCAGCTCCCCAGGTATTCCCAGAGCCCCGTCTCATGGCCAAAGGTGAGCTGAGGGCAGAGCGGGCTGCTTCTGCGTGGGCGGGAAGCCGCCTCACTCGGGGGCATTTAATGATCCTTATAAGGCTCACAGAGTGCCCAGTGAACAGTTCTTGCAATGTCCTCTCTGTTCTGGTCCCATGACTGAGTCTAACTCTGTCTGGTTATCACGCTTGGTTAGAGGCAAGGCTCCCATGTCTCAAACCAGTGGGTGAAATCGTCCAATGACCTAAGGACAATCAGAGCACTGAGCTGTCGGGGAGGTTCAGGCTGGGGCCAGGCCCCACCTGTCCCCTGGCAGCAGTTGATTTGGAGAGGGCAGATCTCGTTTCCATGAGGATAAAGAGCAGGTTGCCAAGGAGGACTCCTCTAATAAACATTTACAAATTACTCTGCTCCACCTGTGAAGCCCAGACTCTGAGGATGAGTCTTCCACTGGTTTATCTGGAATAGGATCAGAATGAACATAGCCTGTGGGGAACGTCTGGAAAACTCTGTGGCTTTGAAGAATCCTCGCCACCGTGCTTTGGGGTGACCACTCTGGAGACAGCGGCAGCACGTCCCCATCATGTGCAGGCAGCCACCTCCTACTCGAAACATCAATAAGCAGCCATATTTACTTTTTTTTTTTTTTTTAATTTTTATTTTTTGGCCTTGCCGCAAGGCATGTGGGATCTTAGTTCCCTGACCAGGGATCGAACCCGTGCCCCCTGCATTGGCAGTGCAGAGTCTTAACCACTGGACCGCCAGGGAAGACTCCATATT